TCTACAACGTCCTGCAAGGAGCTCCATAGATCACCACACTCTGTTTTAAACCTGCCTCTCACCAACTTTGATGCCCCCCAGTTCTTGCACAAACATCTGCCTCGCATGGCTCGTGGCTTCATGGACTACACCGTAAGCTCCTCTGCCAGCCCTCTCCCAGACTGGAGGGTCCCAGTCAGCCACGTCTGTCCCGTACAGAAGCCACTGCTCTTCTCTGAACCTCTTCTAGGGTTTTTCCAACACGTTGATACACCATAAATTTCAGCAATACATAATGATCAGTCCTGCCTTGTTTTCCTTCCTTGTAGCTCCTCATCTGTGTTTAGTCACACAGAAGCTTACTCACTTCTCCCACTGCTGCTTAGTTCCCTTACAAGCCTTACCCTGATGAGTAACTTATCAAATGTACCTGCAGATCAAGCTCCTGAGTTTTCAGTCAGCAAGTCCCCAGGTGCATCTTCACAGTAGAGCACCACCCAGCTCCTACTTCTCTTATCCATCGCCTCTTGTAAGCACTGCAACCAGTGATTTTAATAATTTAGTAGTATCTCACTTCGCCAATTTCAATAGTGATAATTAGGTCAAGCATTTCCTCACCAAACATTTTCTCCCAAATATTTTCCAACACATCCACTTTCTTACCCAGATTCATAACACCAGAATAAACCAGACAGGGGATTTGCTCTCTTCTCCCTCTTGGCCCCATGCTCTTAAAGCATTTAAAACAAACTGAAGGTGAGCTGAACAGCATTTGCCTCACTCCCTGGCTGTTAGCTAGACACCTTCTGATGGCTCTTGCTGTCTGCTGTGCATGCATATGGAGCATCTCTGGGATGCAGCAGGCATCAAAGCAGAAGAGACGCTGGGTGCGAGGAGGAACCATCCTGTTGAGCTGTTTTCCTGGAGATCTACAAGCCTAATTTTATACATATGCTGTAAGAGATCCTGTTAGCGGATTTAAACATTGCAGTCACACGCCATCCTGCTCTGCACTCTTCCCTTCACCACCCGTGTGAAGACACAGGGCCATGTTAGCAGGAGCAGGAGGGCCCATCCTCGCTGGCACACCTTCTCCAGGCAGACATCCCAGCTGCGGCTCTGCTCAGCTGCATCCCACCAGGTTTGGGGAGCAGAGTCATGTTCCTCTCCCTGTCCACCCAGAAAGGTACCAGCATTAAGGAGTTAGTGCTTCGCCAGCGCCTGGAAGATGCAGCATGCTGCACGAGGGCTAACCTCATGCACGGCAGAGCCCAGGGGCCCTTTGCACCCCGTGCTCATCTCTCACCCTTCATCAGGACTTCTGCCTTCAGGCTGGGCCAGTCAGTGGGAGACAAACCCCGAGAGCTTGTCCACACACTGCCGGGGGGGGAGAAGGAGACCATATTCAGAGATTATGCTACTCCCCAGGAAAAATGCCAGCCAGGAAACCGTGCTGCCTCCAATTTGTCAAATATCATCTTCAGTCAAGTTCTGCTAAATATCCTCACGCCACGTGAGGCACAGTACCTCCAGCCAGGTTTCAGAGACTCCCCTGAGCTAATGGACTCCACTCTTCTGCCCAAGTTGGCAGAGACAAGCCACAAAGCTGCTTCTCCATCCTGTCCCATTTTCCCTCTGCTCCTTCTCTCCTCCCACAGGCTCATCCTGCTGCAGCACGGTCAGCAAAACCAATGGAGTCAAACACCAAACGGCAGTTTTCAAAGCTCTGCCCAAGCTGCTGGATGCTGACGTCTCTCCCTCAGCCCACCAGCTGCTGAGGACATCCAGCTGCTAAACTAATTCTCCCTGAAAACTACCTGACTTGGGCCAAGGATCAGGACCAAGAATTCCCTGGGAAGCCCACAGCTTCCCCAGACTGCCCCTCTGCCACCCCATCTCCTCCTTCCCTCGCATCTTGCCTGCCAGGCAGACCTGCCCATGCTCTTTCACATGTCCATAAGGAGGCTGATAAAAAGCTTGCTGAGTCCTCTTAAGTTACATGACTGAAATGACAAGTGATTAGAGGGATTGAAGCCAGTCGGGAAGTGAATGGCCACCTCTGGATGTGCAGACTGAAAAGGAAGTAGAGAGGTCCGAGTCCTTGTCCTCCCTTCCCCTCCTAGCACGGCTCTGCAAGTCCCAAGACCATTTCATGCTGGCATCATTCTCATCCTGGCAGCTCCTCCTAAGCCTGAACCCTGCTTGTCCACTCCCTGTGTAACGTTCCCATCACTTCTCCCTTGCAGAACCATTGCGATGCATCAAGCCCTCCTCCAGCTCCTCGGGCCTGGCCACACCGCATTAAAACAGGATTTATGAGCCTCATGCACAGACTAGAGTTATGCAGTCTGCACTTCTGCACGCTGCATACCAAGTCCCCAGCTGGTTTAAATCAGATTAACTCCACTGATGTAAGACATTTAAGGCAAGAGAGTTCCATGATTTACACCAGCTAAGAAGCTGTTATATTATAGTTTGGCAGCTGCGGGTTTTAGATCTGAAGTTTTTTGGGCAAGGATCCCAAGCAACAGTGAAAGACAGAGCAGCTGAGTGGCAAAACCCATTTATTCTCAGTGCAATGTGCACACAGCCAGCACGTGTTCCACAAAAGTCTTTTAAAAAAAAGAAAAATAACCCTGGTGTTCGGTTTTCGGTGCCATTGGTCTGCAAAGTCAGTGCCTTGTCACAGCTCCAAGGCTCCAAACAAATCACTAAGTCATGATACTCGGGAAATGCCTCCCTTCAAAAAATGATAAATTTGGGAAACCAAAGCCAGGCAACTTCAATGCAAAGGTTGCTAGCTAGTGAAAAAAAACTATAGACTGATTAATAAAAATGCAAACAAACACACATGAGAGTTTAATATTCAGATCAGGGACTTCGTTTCTGCTGGAGGATGCTTAAGCTTCCAATCAAATCTGGCTTCCACAACAAACTGGTGCTAACACTATGGAGCCAAATGTGCCTGCAGAGGTGCACAAAAAGAAGCAGCATTGAGGGCAGGTGAAATGACACAGAAATGCACCAGGAAAAATGCTAATACTACCTGAAAAGGAAGGTTTAGTCCTTTCTCCTCCAACTTAGCAAAGTGGCTTGCTCATGCCAGCAGAGGCTGGTTTGTGAGAGCCAGGAGAGCAGCAGGAGCCCAGTGCCATTCCTACGCCACCCGCAAGACTGCAAGTGGGCAGCAGAGCTGCAGCCTTCCCTGCTGCCTCCCGTCCGGTGCTGGCTGCGTGTCGGGAAGCAGGGAACGGGCTGGGGAGCCCCGCCAGCCCATAAATCACCAGGCACCCAGTGCAGTAAATCTGACCTCCCTTGCAAGGGAAATGTAAATCAGCTTTACTAGCAGCTTCTGAAACAAAAACTAAGCTCATGAAACTGTAAAAATGCCTCTCTAAACATCCTGTGCCCCAAACAGACCATTGAAAGCCCCATCAGGCTGAGGGAGAGCAAACAAGCTTTCCAAGAGATGAGACAACCAGCAGGTTGATGAACTGAGAAAAGGCTTTTCAGACTGAGCAGCTTCTTGCTGGCAGGCGGCACAACATGGATATCTTTAGCGCATGGTAAAGACAGGGTAGGGAATCGGACGAGTGAATTAGCCAGCATTAATACCGTCATTTGTATTCAGCGTACTTCAAAGTACTCGCAATGCAGACATCACCAGACAAAAAAATAAATTACCCACGTCTAATGGAGAGCAAAGTACAGCACATTCGCTGGAGACCAGAGTAATGATCGGCAGGGTTGGATGGGACCCTCGGACCTGCCTTGCCCCACAGCCCTTGGGGAAGGGCACAGGGGGACAGGACACGAAGCAGGCCACCTCCTCCCTCCCTGCTCTTCCCTAATTCCTGCCAGCACAAATTAAACACCACTGCCCCACCACTTAATGAGCTAGCGTGGGATGGCTGTGCCTCCCAGACAGGGGCATGGCCAGAGAAAGCCTCATGAACTGGTGCAGAGGCAGAAGCTACTGGGCAGAGCCAAACTGGGACAGGGCCCAGCAGGGGACAGGGGAGTTGCCCCCGTAACGTCCCAGCAAGAGCAAGACTGCACCTGAGATCCATGGTAGGAAGACTGCAGGGAATCTTCTGGCTGAGCAGAGGCTCCAGATGCCGAGGAAGCTGCGGGTGGTGCTAGCCACCAGCTATTTCAGCAACACACACATGTGGGAAGGGGCTGCCACTGCGTGCCATCCACAAGCAGCTTTGAGAGGCTGGGCACCTCTCCTCCTGGGGCAGGCGTACGGCCAGGCAGCACCCCAGGTCTCCTTGCCGCCACTGCCAGCAGCACCCTGCTGTGGCACAGGGAGGGCGACAGGCAGGGCTGGGGGAGCTCCGGGGAAGGGGTTCAGAGCACAGGGATCCAACACCCTCCCCGTGTGACCAGTCCAAGGCTGGAGAGCACGCTGGACCCAGGAGAAGCACCCATGCGCAGCTGGGGAAGGAAAACATGGCATCAACTGAGCCAAGCCCTCTTTGCCAGCTGCCTTGTTTTCCTGCAGATTTATTGTTGTTCCCGCACTCAATAACAGCAGAGCAAAGGCGCAATAAGGAAACTTAAGTGATCTGTGGCTGCTAATCAGCAAAGCTTTCCAAAAGCTCACCGAAGCCAAGAGGAAAGGCTCGACAACTGCTCTCTGCTGACGCTTGCTAGCACACAGCCGGGCAGCCGTGCCACAAACATGAGGCACCTCTTTCTGCTGACACCCCATGAGGAAAAGGGCTGTGATCACACACAGGGCAAGCACACTTGCTCCTGTCTCGCCTCTCCTACCACCTTAGGGTGCGAGGGCAGGGCCAGCTGCGGCACAGATAACATCCTGCCAGCAGAGAACTGGATGTGAGTGGTCTTGAACCGAAGGGTCCATCACTGCAGGGAGGAGCAGAACCCCGGGAGCCCACCGTAAAAATTCGTTAACTTTCTTTGCATTTCACACAACAATGGATAACATACCAGTGCAGAAGAGAGTCTGTGTTGCCAGAGGCAGCTGCTGCGGCAGCTCAGCGGAGGCTTACCTTTGGGCATGATGCGATGCATTGCGACCGACAAGAAGAAGATCGAGTCACTGTAGTAGGTGCCTGATCCAGCACTGAAGTGTTTCTGCATGGCTTTGACGATTGGAAACAGCTTTTCTGTGAGCTCGTTCACATCATGGACTATTACCTAGGAGAGACACCAGAAACACCACTTAGCCACTGCCTCGGGGGACTGGCTCAGTGCTGGCAGCCTTTGCTCAGCCTGCACTGGCACAGGGAGAGGGGGAGGTTGTTAAACACAAATACTGCTTGTGGCAGTGCAGCTGCACAAAGGGGCCCGACTGCTCTGGCCCCTGCACACTGCACAGCCCCCTGCCGTGACAGTTAGCTAAGGCGTCAGGGAAAGAAAGGAGGGAAGGATTTTTACGACCATTTCATAAACGTGAGATGGGCTGAGAGACTCAAATCCATTCATACAATCAAGTCTGTTCAACGTTTGGGGTTTTTTTCTGGCCTGTTCCCACTGCCTAATGCAACCACATATCTGGTCTCCCATATGGAGTCCGTCAGAAGAGGTGACGGTTCACTCCAGGCTCTGGCATCCTGCCGTTTTGAGGCAAGCCAGACCACGTCACTTACCCTGAGGACCAAGACCCGCTCCCTGCTACAGAGGCAGGCTGCGACAGGGCCAGGGACGCAGCCCGGATTTCCTGAACCTCCGCCCAGCATGGAGGCAAGCTCTGCAGCACGTCCCGCCGAGGCTGGAGGGGGAGAGGAATGACGGGCCACAGCACGCTGATGAAAATCCAAACATCAGCAGTTACAGCAGAGCCAAGCATCTTCTCTAGATGGATCTCAGCCTGCTTTGTGCTGGAGCTTTGCTCTTGCTCATCCAACAATGCTCTGCACTCCTTAGACCTGCTGGAGCCCACGCACCAGCACCAGCACATTGCGCAGGTCGTGGCTATGGGCCAGAAACAGGAGCAACTGCAAATGTACCTTGTCAACTACTGAAATTTTACAAGCTTGTAAGAAATTTTGGTCAAAGTCCGAGAAACAGGAACTTCCATGCAGCCCAATGCTTGTTAAACACACAGAAGGATGCAGGTCACTGAATCACACAAGATAACAGGAGGGATTTTCAGGGTAATTAAGAGGGACAAGGGACACGACCCCGGTGCGGATAAGGGGGAGTGCAGGAACTCAAGTGTGGAGACTTGAGGTCGCACCGCCTTCTTCAGGCCAGGGAAAGCAGGAAGAGCCCAGTAGGAACTGAAGGCCAGTGAGGACACGACTTTGCAACAGTACTTGAATTTTGGAAAGGAGAGCCTATATCCCTTGTTTGAGGGATACAGAGACACTTCTGTAAGGCTTCAGCAGGGAACTCAACCCCATGACTCCATAGGTCCCTTCCAAAGTAAACTATTCAACAGTTCTATAGTTTTACTCCTTTTTCTTACTAAAACTTCATCTGCTCAAGAGCAAGGAGCCCTGCACTATGCACTTAAACATACAAGATAGAGCATTTGCTTTTTTTAAACCTCAATCAAGTCAAGTGCTTCAGAGGAAAAGGCAGCCTGAGCGGGTGCAATGACCATCCGTCCTCTCTATGAGATGCACAAGGGCTGCTTTGATGCCCAGCGAGGCTGGCACAGAGACAGAGCCAGGGAGCAGTCTGGAGCTTGTTCCTCCCACACTTTCTCACAGAAAACATTACCCTGATCAAAGCGCTCTCGCATCCGAGCAGAGCTCGCCAGAGGCGGGGAGCTGCTCATGGGACCTGCAGTACACCGAACAAGGCACGGTGATGGGCCCATCCCAACCCTAGGCACAGCAGCTGAGCACACAGTGAGGTGCCATTGGAGGAAACCCCAAACACTCGCCCTTGGCCAAGGGCTCGATGCTGGCCCCCGCCATCAGCCAGGCGCTGTACGACAGCCCTTGCACAGGCTCTGTGGCCAGCGTGTCCCTCGACAGGGCAGCCACGCTGCTGGCGTCCTGGCTGCTGGGCTCAGGGCCAAGCGCCTGCAGGAGGATGGCAGGCAAAACAGAACAACACGTACCAGGAATTGGGAGAGCTCAGCAGCAGTCACACCTGGCTTTGGATAACACAGCATACATAATCCTTCCCTGAGACACAGTAAGGGAGGAAACTCCGTTACCAGGAACATTACGGCAGCATCTTGCCCCAGCCCTGCCAAGCTTCACCAGCACGGTTAGCACCAGCAGCACTGCAGGAACGGGCAGGAGAGCAGCACAGCTGTGGGGAGCAGGTCAGCAGCACCAAGCGCTGCTGACGGCAGCTATCCCTGGGTTACCAAACACAGCAAAACACCACTATTCTCCAGGTGCAAAGGCACTGACCACCTGTGCATGGAGCTGAGCACCACCAGCACTGGGATGCGTAACGCTCTGCTCCCAGCCCAGCTCGGTAGAGGCAGCTTCGGGGTCTGGCCGGACTGGAGAGGAGAGGCATGGAGGAGAAATACAGCACCTGTAACCGCCCTTCTGCCTCCAGCAAAGGCAGCCTGAGGTCTGCACAGCACATAGGAAACAGCTGAGCAGGGGGAAAAAAAAAGTCAAACCAATTCCAGTCACTCTGAAATGAGCAGAGTGCCAAGCACCAGTGGACAAAAATCATGGGAAAAATACTCCTGAAACTCCAGACACAGCATCATATGCCTTCCCTCCCCTGCCAAAGAAAACAGGAAAATTTGTGTCTTTTGCCCACCCTTTGGTTAGGCACTTCTGCAAAGCAAACTCCAGAGCAGCTGAATCTTCCTTCTGCAGCCACAGGCCGGCCAGCCTCTCCAGGACTGTGAGGGCTTCTCCTCTGCCCACTGCTGACTTTAGCACAGCTTGTTGATCTGCTGCTAATTTTGTACTTTGTTATTTATTTGTGTAGCAGCTTTCAGTAAATCCCCGTAGCTAAATCCGACCATGTTTGCTGAGGACATTAAGAAAAGTAAGTTCTAAGGGTTTCCTGTGCAAGCACAGTTTTATAAACACACATCCTGCACTGAGAAAAGACCCTCTCGATTGATTCACTAGAAAAAAAAACAACCCACGTTTCATTTCTCTTTAATTTTCCCTCCTTCTCATGCCAGGTATCTTTGCAGCTCTCTTGTAAGCCTGGGGTGACAGCAGCTCAGTTACATTCACCCCAGCATGTCTTCACACAGCGCCGGACGCACGGAGGAGTCGGCGTTTGGCAGCATCCTCCACGGGTCTGATCTAAACAAGCAACCAGGAAGAGCAACGAGCAGACAGCAGTTAATTTTATTCTCGGAGGGGAACGGAATAAATAAGCGATATGAATCAGCACAAGGAGTCAGACTGCGCAGCCCAGAGTTACAGGAAACGGGGCAAGCTGGGGCTCTCTCTAAGCAGAGTACCAGCTGCTGAGACAGGCCCAGGCTCGCTCCCGGGCACTTCCTGCTCGCTGGGAAGTGGGACAGGCTGCAGAGATGACCCTGCAACCCACGGCGCAGGACATGGTCTCTGCAACTGTGAGCATAAAAGCCCTGGTAGGAGCCCAGCAGAACCCCGCAAGCCGGGGCTCGGAGGCCGGGGCACGGGCAGGAAGGGCA